AGTAGGTGGTATTTAAAAAACATGTCACCTACTTACTTGCTCTTGCCTTAACTCAGCAAATGGCAACTGGTTCTGGCATCCAAGATGGCAAGCATATTGTTCATCAGATTGGGAGTATGCTTCAGTACAGGCTGCAAGGGAGAAGTTCCCCAAATCAGATGATAAATTCTGCATTTTAGTTAAGAAAACATTCTCAGTGTAAGTTGGATCAGAAACAAAGCAGCAGTTGACAGTCCCATTTGCAGGGGAAGATATGGCAATCCCAGGGTAGCATTTGCTCTGAGGTCTAATGACAGAATCAGAGCTTCAACAGAGCAGGGAGTTGAAATCTGGCTGCAATCAGAGCAAATGATCACCAATGTTACCCTGGCTGAGCTCAGGGATGCAAGTTCTCATTGATCCTCCCACCACCACTATAGCTTTCCTCTACATATCACACAAAACAACAGAGAGCAGAGATGGAATCCTAAAGAGAACAGAGGGACTATCAGTCCGTTAAATCCCTTTGAGGTAACAGCAGAAGCCATGGTATCACAGGAAAATCAAAGGAGCATTTCCTGCTAATACAGCAACTGCACTGAAAGTATTATGGAGTATTTTCTTATGAAAAATGAAACGAACTCTTTGTTTTAGAAAGAGCTTCTATTAATTGCTCATTAGAGATCATAAGGACTGAGAAATCTAAATTATTTGGAGAGAATAATTTAGTTTATTCTGCCCCTGGACAAATCAGGCAGACAATACGCTGGCACAGCTCTCCTGCACAATTCTAAAGCTTAGGTGGACGGTGTTGCAGTAGTACCTGAACTAAAGAATCAAACCAAAAAGCAACACAGAGGACAGCAGCTCTCCCAGTTTTCCAAAGGAACAAATGGACCATCACAAGGACTAAGAAGCTGGCAGGAAGCATGGCAGCAGCAGCTAAACATCTGAGTGTTCAGCTTGTGGCACCTGAGCAGCCATTCCATGCTACAACTGCCACCGAGTCAGTGTTTGCAGGAAGCACCAGAGACAGAACTGAGCAGAGCAGCCAAGATGGATCTGCCAAGCACACAACACTTATCACTCAGGGCACCCACAGCAGATCACAGAACATAAGCCAGCAAAGACAACAGTCCCAGAAAGGAGAGTTAAACCAGAAATAAGCAACTGTTCCATTACTGCACATGTGCTCTATTGCTACGTTACCCTGCTTTATGGCACTCCTTCGTGTGTGGTTTGACAACTACACTGACAGGCTGTATCACAGCTACACACAGTGTGACAGACTGGAGCATTAGCCCATTTCTAGAGCATTTACTGCACTTCTGTAACACATTAGCATCTCTGCATGCCAGGCTTTCTGATTCCCTACCTGAGCTGGCCACAAGCTCTCTTGCTTTCAGGAGCTACTGAGAGGACAAAAGCCCCCCCTGAATGCTGGCCTGGTGATTAATTGTATTGGTAGTAAAGGTGGAGAGTTCCTACCTTTCCTTTCTGAATAAAACTGAATCAGCTTCCTCGACATTATTGGAAGAAAGTTCTACAGAATTCCAAACCCACTATTAATTGGCCTGTATCACACACCATCCCTGGAGGGACATAAAGGTGTGGCACTTGGGGAGATGGTTTAGTGGATGGGCTTGGCAGTGCAGGGGGAATGGCTGGACTTGATGATCTTAAAGGTCTTCTCCAACTTAAATGATTCTATATATTTCATCTTCACTGTTAAATATCTGCTCTAACACAGCTAGCCAGAGAGAATTAGTAACCAGTACTTAAAGGCCTATTCCAAACAAAATATGTACCTCATTCCCAAGGGTTTAGCTGCAAGGAAAGCTTAGGATGGAGGCTAGACCACAAGATATAAGGCACATTAAAATCTGTGCTCTTGCTCCACTGAACAATTCATTTCTACATACAGATTTGTCAGGAACGGCAAATGGGACTGATTGTCACAGGGAATTATTAAAAGACAAGTGTTCATTTGCCTGGATTTCCCCCCAGGCATTTTGTGTTTTCTATGACAAACTGTTTACAGTAAAATGCAGTATTTCTAATTTATTTACAGAGACTGATGATACTTGAGAAATTCAGGAAAACAGCAACACTGAGGAGAAACTCACAGAGAACAACTTTCCCAGAAGATTTTTTTATATATATCCTGTATATAGACTTTAAGAAGCCGTTAAACAAACCCAAAGCAACTAAAAGAAGGCCACCAATTCAACACCACCCTTTCAGACATTGCAGCTCTCCCCTCCACTTCAGCTGATGGGATGCTGAAGGGGCTCTGAGGGCTCACCAGAGTCGCATTCCTGTTTGGTCCGATTCAAATCGGCGCCATCGTCCACGAACTGGCAGATGGAGAAGAGTCGGCAGCCGCGCTGGCAGGCGTACAGCTCCTCTTCCTGGGGAGGCACAAGGAAAGGCTTGCATCCCTCCAGCCCACAACAAATTGTCAGAAAACAAGTATTTTTTTGTTGTTTGGTTGGGTGTTTCTGTCCTCCTTCCCTCCATCAGAAGTACAACCCAGCTCAAGGTGAAACGGGATGAAATAAACCCAAGCCAAGCAGCACTAACAACCTTTGGATTTATTTCAAACAGAGCTTTTCCTTCTGCAGTGGGCAAACCTGGAACAGCAAAACCTATGGATTTATTTCAAACAGAGCTTTTCCTTCTGCAGTGGGCAAACCTGGAACAGCAAATGCTGTTTTGTAATTCCAGACCCACGACTCACAAGCAAAATTAATGTTTTAGAAAGTGGTGTGTTTGAAATTAAGAGACAGTGCTGTAAAAGATTTTTTGATGTTTAACACTACAAAGAGTAGAAAATCTCCATTCTCAGAACTTAAATGGGAAAACCCAGCAGGAAAGGACAGAAATCCTATACTTTTGACAGTGGAATACAATGTATCTAAACAGTCTAATGACTCTAATTAGAGCTACAACAGAACTATCAGAAAAAGGGATTATTTTCTGATGTCCTGCACAGCATCCTGGTTATCTACCTAGTGCCAGCTCCACAAATACAAATGTTTATTTATTATACTGAACTGAAGGGCAAAAGTGCTTCCCCACTGGCAGCTGTTAAAATTAAGCAAATATAGAAATCCTACACCTAGTATTTCTTCTGTCCACAGGTCCAGGGGAATGGATGTGAACCAAAGCCTCTGTCACAGGAGTGTCCCCCTGACCACACCCTGCCACTGACCCATGAACCAGAACCTCAAAGCCAGCAGCCACTCGAACTGCACAGGTGCAAAACAGGCTCTGAATTAATTTAACAACAACCAAACACACCACACCTCTTGTACAACCTGTTGTAAATGACCTGGCCATTTTAACTGAGAGCACAAATTCATGTGCATTAAAGGCACAAGAGTAGGAAACTGTGAATATAGATTAAAATTCAAGTCTAACACTGACAAGGTGGGTGGTGCTGTCAGAAAATGTTTTTTAATTTGACATCCAGATAAACCAGCTTTAAAGATGGATTTCCACAACACTTTTAATAAAGTTTGTCTTAATTTCCAATCACAACTAAAACAAATTTCTTTCAATTCCACCAGCACTTCTGTGACAAACAAAACAAGCACTAAATTTAAAAGGTGTAATTGCATTAATGAACAACAAGACATGACAAAATTCTTACTCAAAAAGTGAAGCAACAAAATTCAAAAGTGTAATAAAAATCACATAAATATCAGCCCTCCTTGAACTTCAATGGTCCTACAAGAGAAACAAGATCCATACACCAAAACAAACCGTAATACATGTGTAAATTTACTCATATTCCACACAACTCCCTGCTACATCTTTCCAGCTACAAAATCCAACTGAATTCCACAGGGAAGCAGACAAAGCCCTGTTACCTGATCCTAGCACTGCTCCACTTGCCTGCTGCCTTCCCAGCAGCATTTGGAATTGTGAAATCCCAAATATGGGGTAAGAGTTCCACCTGCTGCAGTTGATAATGAAGTTTATTGCCAAGAAAGAACAAGGAAATATGAGATTTTTTTATGTCGGATTTTCTAAATTTAAGCCCATAGTTCAAAGGCGTGCAAAGCATGAACCAACAGCAAATTCTGGGGTGTGAAATTAAATTTCTACCAGACACAACTTCAGTATTTTATCATGAGATAAAAGATTGCCATAAAGGCTCTGACCATCTACTTGTTTGTCATCATTTATGCTTCATCCTTTAACAGCCAAGTGCCGCACTGGCGCCCTGACTCAGGATCTCTGCCCTGCCACCAACACAGCACGGTTCCAGTGCCCAAAATACGGAGCAGCCCAAGCCAAATTACAGCTCCCTTTTTAGGAAAGCATAAGGAAAAAAAAAAACCAGCAAAACGCCCAAAACCCACAAAAGCCCCAGCACTGACAAAGCTGTACTTTGACAACAGCGCTTCACTGGCAAGCGGCAGCCTACCCATCTATTTACGTAAAGAAGTATCTGTCTTTAGACAAGACGCGGAGCTGCAGGGGAGAGGGGCAAAGGACGGGCCGTGCCAGCCCCGGGGGAGGCGGAGGGAAGCGGCGCAGGTGCGGGGAAGGGCCCGCCCGTACCTTGGGGTAGGTGTGCAGGGGGTAGGTCAGCTGGCAGGCGCGGTGACACGATGCCGTGTTGCCCAACACGGAGTCGAAGGCCTCGGAGGAGGCGGCGGGAAGCGACTGAGAGGCGGCTCCCGCCTGGATCACCAGGAACAGCGGCAGGAGCAGGAGGAGGACGGCGAGGCCTCCCCGCCGCACCGCCATCTTCGTTCCTCCGCCCCGGCAGCGGCCGGCGGCAGCCTCTCGCGAGGCGTGCCCCGCGCGGAGCCTGCTGGGAGGTGTAGTCAGCGCCGCGGGGCATCCCCGCCCATTCCATAGAGCCTTGCCCCCGGCGGGAACTACCGTGCGGAAAGGGCGAGGCAGCGGCAGCTGCTCCCGCGCGAGGCCTGCTGGGACACGTAGTTCACACCGCGGGGTACCCTCGGCCATCCCATAGGGCCTCGCCCCCGAAGGGAACTACCGGGCGGAAATGGCGGGGCCGCCGTGGCAGCTTCCGTGAGGAAGGGCGGCAGGGCGAACATGGACCGGTTCGTGGTGCGCCGCGCCCGCGAACCCCAGAGCCCCCGACGGGCCGCGGCCGGGCCCCGCGTTTGCCGACAGGTCACCCTCGAGTCCCTCAAGGCAGGTCACCGGCGGGAGGTTGCGGCGGCACGGCCGGGGCACCGGGTGCGGCACGGGCGGGGCGGCGGGGGAGCAGCGGTGTGTGTGAACACCGGGTCTGCACCGGAATCTTTGCAGCGCTGAGGTGGGATCCGAACAGGGAAGTGGTTGTACAGGCTCAGAGGGCTCTGCTGCTTTGCAAGCGGTTCCATGGGTTGTAACTCGGCGTGGTGCAGGGTCAGGCTGGGCACACGATTCGAGGACAGCCCGGTGATACCGCCAGCCTCAGTATTTCCAGCTGGTTCTCATCCCTTCCCAGCAAGGAAAAACCCTTCAGTTCATTTCATGGATGTCTCGAGTGAGACCTGCCCGAGAGCTGAACCCCTCTTGGTCACCTGCTTGTAGAAACACAACAGCAAAACATGCTGCACCAAAAAGTTCAAGTGTGGCAAAAATCAAAAGAATGGTGCATAAAGCACTGCAGTAGTCTGACCACTGCTGGATAAGATGCTTCACATCCAAAATATGAGACTTGCACTATTTGCAGTCTGTTCTGTCAAGTTCTGTGGCAAAACCAGTGAAAAACACTGCAACTGTGCAGCGTATTCAGGTCTGCCTTCATATTCTCTAATGCTTTGTTTCTCACCTTGCTGGCATTGTTTTACTTCTGAAGTCAGTCTGAGCTGGATTCTAAGGATAATCAGCCACCTCCCCCGAATCATTTTTCCTATTTAATGGATTCCTTAAATTCAGAACACTTCTAGGAGATGTTGGCTACATCCCCAGAGTTTGGCAGACCAGGGTGAAGCCTCTCACTTTGTTTGCTGGTTACTTCAGTCTTGATTTGCAGGAGTTTTCTAATTCCAAGCAAGTACCCGTTGTGTATTCTGTGCCACGATCAATAATTCATGCACTGATAACAGCCCCATTAGCTGAGATGAAGGTAGTGTCCTTATTCCTTGTAACAATATTCCACTTTCCTAATGGGCTTTTCTCTTTCCCAGAGAGTTGTGGTTGTGGAAGACATAAAACGATGGAAGTCTATACTCGAGCTTCCTGGGCAATCGAAAGAGAACCTGATGGAAGCTTTGAAGGAGCTGAAGAAGAAGATACCTTCCAAGGAAGTGTTACTTTCCACTAAAATAGGTACATCTGGTCTATCTAAACTGTGAATATTAGGCTGTCTTGTGTCTGCTTGGCTTGTCAGTACACTAGAGATTAGTCTGGAAGCTTTTTAAGAAATGAGGAAATTGCTGCCAATGAAATATTGTTGATATCAAGCCTGCAGTTTTCACAGCTTGTACTGAAAATGTCAGCTGTCCTCTGATTCCTCCCAGGAAATATTGCATCACCCATTTAGTGGTCAGAGTTTTGAAGAGCTCTCCTTGGTAGCTCTGTGTTTTATTCCTTCTTCTGTCCATCAATGTTCATTTATCTGATTTGGCTGAATCCTCTGAAGGTGTGAGAAAATCTCCTCAGACTGGCCTGGAACTGCCTCCTGCATCCTCACACTGAGGAATCCCCAGCAGATGGGCAGCTCCAAGCAAATGGCACAGCTCGCTGCCTGCCTCTTTTCCACAGGGCTTGGGGGAAGGATAAGGTGTGACCACATGGTCCCTGCCTTTCCTCAACAGGGAGAGCATCCCGGCCTTTGTTTGCCATCAGAGCAGCCGGATCTCTGTTCACAGAGCCCTGGAAAAGGAGCTGCAGTCGCCCCTTTCCCCATCTTTCTGATCTGTAGTTTCATTTGCCATCTTCAGCCTATTCAGGCTTTTCCCGGGATTTTTCCCAATGCCAGCCTGAATAGCGCCGGCCTGGAAGAGCCACTGAAGCCTAACAGTGACATCTCCTGGCCAACAGCGCTCCTGGCCAGGGAAAAACACCCCTCTGGAAGCAGGAAGGTCCCTTTTGTCTCCTCGCAGGGGAAAGCCTCTTCTTCACTGCCAGATGTTCTCGATGGGAAGGATTCTGCTTGGAGTCACCGTGGTGTTCCCATGTTAAAATGCTGCAGCCATCACCAGCAACATCTGCTTCCTTAAAGGGGTTCCCAGTTAAAAGCTTAAAAACCTTCACCAGATCCAGGATTGGTGTAAAAAGCTAGTGTAGCCCTGTTTTAAATAAGTCATCTTGGTGACTTGGGAAGGTGATTTTCACAATTCCTTGCTAATTTCTCAAGCTCTATGCTTGAGTCCTGGTCATTTTGTATTTGTGTCAATGCTTTGGTTGTTTTGCTGAGACTGCCTGAGTTAAGAACATGTGTGGCTGCTTTAGCACCGATAGGATTTGAGTGGTGCCAGTTGTGTTTGTTCCCAGCTGCCAGGCCCAAAGGAGCTGTTCCTGTTTTCCAGGTCACAATGTGAACAAGATGCGCAAACACCCCGACCCGGACGTGTCCGGCCTCGCCAAGGACATTTACAGGGAGTGGCGAACCTTCATCAGGGACCACTCCAACAGGCCCTCCATTGAGGTCAGGAGCGATCCCAAGACCGAGGCTTTCAGGAAGAACGCTCGGAAGCTGCTCTGTGAAGCCCTGGAATTAGAGGTACAGTTCAGAGCCACTTGTCTGTGGCTCCAAAATTGCCTTCTTGTAGGAACAAGTTAAACCTTTTCCAGCTAGAGATACTGCCAAGCTGGTCCTGCCTGCAGAGTGGGGACAAGACCAGGTGATCTGCTCCTATTTTTAGGGATTCATAGCACATCCCTATTTATGAGTAACTTCATTTGCAAGCTAATGTTTTTTGGTGTTAACCAAGTGAACCTGCTAATTGTAAGCGAGGTGTATTTGCTGTCATTTCCATAACCTGTTAACAGATTACTTGTGTGGCCACTGCAGTTGGGCTGTACAAGGATGAAATTAATACAATATGAAGTTTTTTGTAACAAACAGCTATGAAAGCAACAGTTGGACTTTTTCTGGCATTTCCTAATTAAATATTTATAAATTTAAATCTATAGCAAAAATGGAGAGGCAGGGTTGACAGTGTATAAAGTGATAAATACCAGATCCCTCAGGTATGTTTAACTAAATGAACAAGACTTTGCTGTAAGGCTTAATAACTAGTTTGCTTGGTCTATGAAATGCCATAATAATTATAATTTTCAATTTATTCATTAATTATCCTTTAAAAGACAAGTCGAGTGATAAACATTCAAGAGTTTCAAAGTTGTGTGTTTGCTAGCTGTGAGAACAACCTCTCCAGCTTCCAGTCTGGGGCAGCCCAGAAGGATGGTTCACTGTAGGAATGACTCTGGAAGGTGGGAGCTCACCTTTGCTGAGTCAAGCTTAGTTCCTAGAAAGCACAGCTATGCATGGTGACTGTCAAGTCTGAATCTGTGGGACATAAAGATTCTGGTAGCAGCCTAAAATGGGTAGATTTGGGTGAAGCAGACTGGGTAAAGCAGAGTTGCCTCTGAACTGGACTCACCTGAAAACACCTGCAGCCATCACATGTGCAAGCAGAGGTTACAGCAGTTGAACTGCTTATAAAGGCAGGGGAGCCACAGCTGCTGCACTGACACCTGAGAGGCTGACAGAAGCAGAAGGGAAGGTGGGACTGAGTGGATCCAAGGGACTTTTTAGTGATGGGTAGTAAAACCTGTGTGGTGAAGGACTTGCAGGAATACCACTTAGTTCACTGGAATCTCCTACAGGCAAAGCATGGGAGATTCCCCATCAAAAAGGCAGAAGTGAAATTAAAACAATTTCTTTAAGGGGGGGAGGTTTCCTAAACTGTGCTGAATTACAGGTTTTGGCACACATTGAAGCAGTAACTACATAATTAACATTTAGCAAATCCCTTTCTGTGTTCTTAATTACACCTTCTTCTACACATAGAGAGCCCACATTTCCCTTTATAGCACCAGGCAGAGAGTTGCCAAATGTTTGGCATGTCTTAGAGTTGCTGTTGGAATCAAGTTTAAAATAGTATCCAAGGTACCTTATATCAGCAAGCTCAAAAGTGAGCTTTATGGAGACACTACAGCATAGCTTATAATTGCAGTTGAGCTTGATACCCAAAGCTTGTCACAGATTAGTTTCCTGTTGTGATGGCAAAGTACTGCCACCCAGCTGGAGGTGGGGATATGTTCCCTGCCACTGACCACGTTGCCTTGTCCCTTAATTGCTAGGGTGGAATTAAATTGCTCTTCCTGTTACACTTGTGATAGGAAGCAGATTTCCTTGAATCTAAGCTGATTAATGAAGAAACACTGAAAAGCACCAAACTCCAATTTCAATCAGCTGGCCTCCTTATTAAGTGTAAAGATCTAATTTTATACTTTGCTGTTTTCAGATTGATCACCCACTGGCTGAAAATATTGAGCGTGAAGCTTTTCATCTCTGTTCCCGCCTCATTAGCGCTCCGTATCGCAGGGCCGTGCGAGCCCTTGTCTTCTCATTAAAGCACAAACCTGAGACCCGAGCAGGAGTCAAGGATGGCACACTCACTGTCCCTGCCTTTGTACAGAGCCATAAAAAGTGAGGTGTTGTGCTTGATCCCGAGGGAGAACTTCCTGTGCCTGCATCCCCGTGGGACTGGGAGCCCTTCCAGCGGTGAGGGGAGCGCAGGAAGGCTGACTGGGTGACTCCCTGGCACCACTCCATGAACAGAGCTGCAGGAGGGAAGAACTAATCATGGAATGGGCGCTGTAAATCTCACTTGGTAGAAATCCATGTGGGCTTATTGCAAGGAAAGTTTCTTCTGCTCTTCTGTGTATTTTCCATCCTTGCCGACTCACCTGTTTCTCTCTTCTGCCCGTTTGTTGTAGCCCAGTTTAACTCCATCCTTGATGTGGGTCTTCAGGTGTAATGAACTGAATAACCCTTTTAAAGGAGCAGCTCAGTGCTGTGCTGGCTGGAAATACTGGGAATTATGGGTATTGGTCCATGGGAGGGGATTCCTGGGGGATCATTGCAAACTCTAGTTAGCCCTAAATCAGCTACGCCTGCTGCAGCTGGGCCCCGCCTGTGGCAAGAGCTGCTGTGCCAAGGTGATTTTCCTTTGCTGCATTCCAGAGCTGGATGCAAAATGGATTTCAGTAACTTCCATCATCTCAGTCATCCTGTGATTTGGGGCATTTTCTAAAGCCCCAGGGTAAAGGTGCTGTCTAATGCCTCTGCTGTTCAAGGAGCAGTTCGTTCAGCCTTCCAAACCTCACTCATGATGTAAACATGGTGCTTGTTCTTACTGTAATGTGAAAAAAACACTTGTAATGAATTTTCTAAATAAAACTAAACGTTCCTTTTTAAAGGCTTTTTTTTTTTTCTAAAAGGAACATGGTTGAGAATCATTGCATGAACAAATCTAACCAACAAATTATTGTTTAAATTCTTTCTAGTTATTGAAAACTGGAATTCTTGCCTCTATATTTGCTCTGATTTCTTTTGTGCCACAAGTTGTCTTGTTCTCTATTACTAAGGCTGTTCCAGGCATAGTGTTCATATCTTCACCTAAAAAAATGACTAACTGTCATTACTTGGACCTGCTAGATACTTTTTTCATCTGTAGAACCTTAGCAAAAACACCCAAAACTTACCTGAGGTGTTGAACACCATAAATTTAATTTGATAATTTCAGGTTCTCTTAAGAATATCTTAAACCCTGCTTTGTCTGCTTGGGCCAGTGCAAGACCAGTTTTGCCTGTACACATTGAAGGTGTCCTCAAACAGCTGAACACAAAGGTCTCATTTGTAGGAAGTTAAGGTCAGGTGTGCAGGAGGCAGAAACTGGCAGATCTGTGTGTGGTGATGGTGTGGGTAATATTCAATAAGATGTAACACTTGTTGGTCAGGCTGTAGCAAAAAATGGGAAACCCCTCAATTCCTTACAAGCAATCAGCTCCATTTCCCACTTAAACAGCTTCAAACCTCCCAGCTGTAATGGAATTTGTGTATCCTGGACCATCAGGAGGGGTTCGGGATCAATGAATGACACAGCTTTTGCATCAGAGCTGCAATGCCATGACCTGCAGTATTTATTTGCAGTTCCTTTGTGTTCCTGGCTGTGTTTCCTCTATTTGGGTAATGTGAGAAGCAAAATTCCTGAAAATGAGGAACTTCTGGTCTAACGAAAGCTGGGCCAAAGAAGTTTCCCACACAGGTCAGATACAGTCTGGCTGTGCCAAGTATTTTTCATTTAAAAAGTAACTGCAGAGTTGCTGCACACAAGCAGAAAACTCTCCTATAAATTTCCTCTCTTTAATTGTTGATATTTTTTCCCAACTTGTTTCAAAGGAACCCAAGTGTAAAGCTCTGGGTCCAGTTCTTTTATCTTAATGTTAAAGCTGGCAGTAACATTTGGGCTGAGGATTCACAGATGCAGCTTTGCAGAAAACTGGAGGATCTGGAAAAGAATCTGGAGAGTTGGACTCAAGACCCACAGCAGGAGGAATTCAGGGAACCAGGGAATGTCTTAAGGACAGAAAGGAAGGTAGGGAAAGAAAACGAAAACAGAGATGGGAAAACAACAGGCCAAAAAGGCTTTCGTTTTCCCAAAGGGTGATGCTGAATGTGACAACGGGATACTTGATACCTGGCACTAATGAAGTTTTTAATTAGTCTCTAAAAACCAGATTCCCTCCATGGAGCAGCATCACCTGCACACTGTGTTTATTTATGCCTTGGGTTACCTGCTGAATCAGTTTGCTGCTCCTTGGCTCTTCCTCCCTCCTGTGGGTGGTGCAGTCCAGTCTTCATGCTGGGGAAACCCTTCTAGATTAAAAGGGAGGATGAAAGGGCTGAGCAGTGGCTCCCTTGTGCTTGGTTTCTCTGGCATGAAGACTGAAACTTCTGGTTCCCCTTTTATACAGGGGAAATGTTAAGGGAAGCACCCAATCCAGAGAAAAGTTCTTGTTCTTCCTTTTTCTTCCAGATTAAGCCTATCCCAGAAATTCCTTTCAGCAAAGGAGTACATACATAAAGCTGGCAGACCTCCAGAGACCTGCTACAGCCAGCAAAGAGAGGAGGGAAGCACCTTCTGGAGGCATCACCTCCTGATCCCCCCTCCCCGTGCTTGGGGAATACAGGGTGGGCTCAGGGCAGCACCAGGAGGGATGGAAGAGGGAATTCACTCCTGCAGAGCTGGCTCCTGACCCTGGCTTTGAAGAGCAAATTTGGGATGGCAGTAGGTGACAGCTTGCTCTGTTCCCCATCAGCAGGTACAGCTCAGGAGAGCTTTGTCCTGCTGCAAATTACTTGAGTGAAAGAAGATGGGAGTAGACAAGACCCTCCCTGTCCTTTGGAAAAGAGAGAGCTCAGCAGCTCACCAGTTTTCATCTTTCAAGAGGCTCTTCAAAGGTTTCTTCACAAAGAATCCAAACTTTTAGATCTCATTTGCTTCCCTGGCAGCCCTGTAATATGAAGGGTTGGCTAAACTGGCCCTGGATTAAGAGACATTAAGGCAAGGAGCAGCCACTGAAGCCCAAAGGATGCTCCAGGAACTCTCCTCCCTGGGTATGTTATGGAGCAGAAATAGGGGGCTGGAGCAATGGAGGGACACAGGGGAGCAGAAAAGAAGAGGCAGAGAGAGGGAGGGAAACACATGAGGGAATTGGAATTCCCCAGCCTGGTTGACCACAACCAGCAAAGCCTTGCTCCTCCATGCATGGTGTGGCAACATTCAGGTGGGTGACCTGGCACCTCACAGGAGGGGAAGCTGAGGCACAAAGGAACTCTGACATGTCACAGTAAGCAAAAAAAAAAAAAAAAAAAAAGGAAGCCCATGCCAGGGTTACACTGAAATTCATGATGCTCCAATTCTTGTGCTGGCAGTCCCCTGAACATCCATGGTCTGTGTCAATTAAACTAGATTATGGAATGATCTTTGCTAATTATATATTATTATCTAGCAAGCAGTTATCTTGCTATAAAGGGTGCTCCTATAATGGACAAACACTGTTCCTCTAGCACAGCCAGCTCCAATGGCAAGAAAAATACAAAAGCCAAAATAATTTCTGCTGTGGCCAATATTTTGCCTGAGCTGGAATGTTCACATTGCAAACACTGCACTCCTGTCCCAGATAGAGAGAAGAGAAGGAGGAGGGCTGCAACACGCAGAAGAAGGCAGGATCAAATCTGTATCCCCCAAAGCTGCCACAAAGACTTGACTGTAAGCTCAAAATCCAGCTGTGAACTCTCCCACCCATCATGGAACACTCAGCCTTCACACACCACAATCCCCATGAACAGGGCCCTTGCTGTCTCCAGGGCTGTGATGATCAGGAAACTGGGCTTAAAATAAGCTTGGAAAACAGCTCCTGGTAAATGCCATCATTGCATTCTTAATTGTCCATATGCTTGATCCATTATGTTTTCCCAGATGGCTGGGCTGCCTGACGACTGCCTCCTCATCTGTGCCACTATGGCCAGGGTCTCCAGCAGGTACCTGGATCCCCAAGGCAGGGCCACCCTTGTGGCAGGCTCTGTGTCACTGTGGCCAGGGGCTCCAGTAGGTACCTGTGAGCTCCATCCTTCCTGGCACAAAACCACACCCACTGACCCATCCATGCCAAGCTCCTGGGGAGCCAGGACTGGCTAGATGGCAAAAGTGGCTGGTGGCCTCCAGGCCTTACACACCAAACCCAAGAAAACCACCCTGAGGAGCAGCAGACCTGCTCCTGCTCCAGCCCATGCACTGCCCTTGTGAGGAGAGGATGCAGAAGATGCACACCACCAGCATTCTCAGTCATGGGCTCAGCCCCAGCACTGGCTCCCTGTGCATCACAAGTACCCCATTCCCAGACTGGGACTAGAATATAAAAACAGAAGAGATGCAAATAACCCTCTGGGCAGAGCAATGAGGGAAGGTCCAGCCATAGAGGACTGTGGGTGCCACCACAGAAAACTTACAGTGAACATTACAATAGAATAAATTGCCTGGGAAGGGTCTCTGGGCAGAGGGAGCAGGGTCTTGTGCCAGCAGCAGTACACGTTTTGGGGCACTCCCACCATCATTCTCTTGTCCATTGCAGCAGCACAAAAGCACATCCCCCAGCAGCCACCCTCACAGTGTGACACATCAGGAAAACCTTCCTGGTAAATAGAGAAAACACAGAGAGCGTGGCTGAGATTTTTCAGATATTTTAGCACAGCTTCTCTCCGGTAGGAGCGATCTCCCCAGGGAAGGAGAGGAATAAACCAGCTGATCCCCTGGGGGCTCTTGCAGTGCCATTTTCTATGATCTACGATTTTCCAACAATTCTTCACTGGATTTGCACACAGACGTTTGCAGAGGGGTAAGAGAGGCTCTCCCTCCCGAACAACAGCCAAACCTTTGTCTGCTCCGAAGAGACAAGACTCCACATCCATAAGCAAAGCCAGGAAACGAGGAGGCTGCATCCAGCCTGGCTCAATCCAGCCATCATGCTCTAAATAAATAATCAGATGAGCAATGGGAGCACTGCCCGTGGCTGCTGCTTTCCCGCTTCTCAGGAAGCACCGGGCAAACGCTAAGGAGGGAAACTGAGGCCTGATGTGTGAGGAGCACAGACATGGTGGAGGGAAGGAGTGCTGGTGATGGATTCCATATCTGTTTGCCACTCATCTGAGCAGCTTTTACATGAGAAGAAGGGCTTGTTTCAGGAAATTACCTGGGCAGCCCCCCCATCCCTGCTGGGCTCCAGCTCCAGCCAGGGCAGTAAGTCAGGGAAGACCTGACTTAACAGGAGATGTCAGTGAGCAAATTCCTGCAGGGCAGGGAGAGACTGGATGCCTAAATCTAGTGGAGAGGCTGAGACATGGTGCAGAAGGACTGGCAGGCTGGTATTTGGTGAGCACCAGAGGCTTTCCTTGCTCCACATGTGATGACTGGCTCGAGTGGCTCACTGCTGGTGGCAGATACAGCTGTAAATGCCATCAAAAACAAGTGGGTAAAGGGCTTTTGGAGACATTCGTTAATCACCCTGTCCATGTCCCCTGGAAAACACCCTGCAGGCCTGGGGCTGCTGGGGATCCCCCTGACTCAGGAGCAGAGCTGCTCCCACAGCACCAATCCTGCATCTGCAGGGATGTGTGCAGGGGAGCACTTCACCCAGGGATGCCTGGGTGGTTGTGAACTGGAGCCAGAGCTGGAAACCCTCCCTGGGATGACCAGGTCCAACTCCTTATTTGAGTGCAACACCAACAGCTATCCAGAAAAGCCTTTTCCCCTGCAAATCGCAGGGTTCTGGAGGCTCTGGCTGGGTGAGGAATATCTGTCCTCCAGGCAAGGGCTGGATGCTGCTGGGTGCTGTGGGCTCCCTGCCAGGCACGAGCAGCCGCAGTGCTCACCTGTTTCAGCAAAATCTGGGCCACCAAGAAGGTTAATTATATCTTTAAGTTTCTTTCAGTTGTCAAATCTTGTAACTATGGTCTCAAGCTGACAGTTCTATACCCAGCAATTAACCAGCAGTGAGGCTTTGCAGGCAGTGGGGGAGGCTGGCCTTGTTTACCATCTCTGCACACAACAGGCTCTCAAAACATTCCCTTAATGGAACTTAACGGTGCTGGCAAATATTTCCCTGGGAAATCTCTCATTTGCCGATGTGTTGCACCAACAAACGCCAAATCAATCCGGGCTCCGATAACGAAGGCTCCTCATTAGGAGGCATGCGCAGCTCTGTGCCTTCTTCCCTCCCCAGACACTCCCGCAGGGCTGGTGCAATCCAGGAGGAAAAGCTGCTGGATCATCATCCTATTCCTTGGCTGCTGCTTCCTCTGATGAACAGAACTGTCCCAGAGGGAAGCAGGACATCAGTCTTTTCACTGGCCACGAGTGGAGATCTGGTGTCATTGAGGTCCCAGGGGAGCCAGCCCCTCTTGCCAAGGTTGTCTTTCTAGGGTTAACAAAACCTCTGCAGTCCAACATCTCCCCAAGCCATAGCAGGATTTGCCCATATTTTCAAACTTCAGGAGTAATGCTGGTAGAGAGTTTTCAGCCGTGGACACCTGGATATGCTAGAAAGGAGGAAAACACAGAGGAGAAGAGGGTTGTTCTCCTCCCCTCCAGCTGCTGGTGGCTGAGGCACTCAGGTGAGTCCTGCGAGAAGTGAGACAACATGAGAAGATCAAACGAGGAGCTCCAGGGCACAGCAAATGCATCTCATCACATCACCCACAGACACCCAGAAACATCACCTGGGAGCACCTACATGAGCTACATCTGTGTGTGCCAGGTGGAGATCCCTGTAACACAGCTCCACGGTCCCCCCCAAGCATGGGCCGGGAGCACGGAGAACATTTGTTGGGAATACAGCTACATTTGGGGATGGTTTGTACATCCAAGAATTCAGCTAGAAATAATTGACAGGAAGATTTGCAGCCATCGGCAAACAACGTTACTTTCCTGAAAGCAGCAGCACTACAGGGAAAACAAATTGAAGCAGGTGCGGGAAGAGTTAGGGAGTGCAAGAACTGCATTCCTGAGCCAAATGGACAGATTGAGACAGAGGAAAACAAATTGGGAAGGGAAACGGCTGCCTATTGCCCAGAATTTTCAGGCACTAAGAGAAGGTGGAGGTTGGGTTCAGGCTCAGTTTCAGGGCCTGGGAGCTGTGTCTCTGTTTGGGTAGCTGTGTTAGGGTTCAGCCTGGGGTAAGGGTGGATTTTGGGGTACCCTTCTGCCCTGGACTGCGACTGCAATCCCTGGAGAGTGGAAAGAGCATCCTACAGAAGCACCAGCCCCACCACTGCAATGACCATGAGGAGCCCAGCCAGGATGCAGATGCTGATGAAGACGATGTCACTGGTGTCCTGGCTCTTGATTTCACGGGCATCGATCGCTTCCCCCTCCCACTGCTGGGCATCCACCAGATTTTCTGCCTGGCTGAGCCTGGATGGATCAGGACCAGCAATAAGGGTCACTGAGGCTTCCTTCTTCTTTGGCTCACACTGCACCTCGTACTGGTGGATGTCCTCCTGGTCTCCCACTGAAAAATCAATGTAGAGGGTGCTGATGATGACAGAGGTGTTGTTGCGTCTCTGCAAGACAAGGGACACGGCTCATCAGGCTTTGTGCAGCTCTTTTCCACAGGGGTTTGGAGGGGTTGGCCATGAATCAGGCCAGCATCTACTGGGAAAACGTGAGAGGGATTTGGAATACCTCTCTGCAGCCAGCACAGGGCTAACCATTTACACAGCTTGCTTTAAAGGGGTGCTTGCTGATCACTTACCTGAGATTCAGTGCCACAGGTGTCGAACCTGGTGTGTATTTTAAAGTTCCTGCCAACCACCTGGGCTGCACAGGAGGGGGTCCCCAAATAAATCCTATTCCTCTCCAGCTGGGCCAGGGACTGCATGGGGATCTGGATGTGGAAGTCTGTCCGGGTGCAGCTGACGTTCATGGGCACAACTATTGGGACAGAAAACAGGGTGCACGTGTAGGACCCGGGGTGGGGGGGTTTCAGGAAAAAAGCTAACTCCAGAATGCAGAAAGCAATCAGTATCAGTATTTTAGCCCTGTCCCATGCCAAGGGCAGACATGGATGGCTCCCAGGCGCTGCTCTGCTTTCTGCCCAAGGGAGAAATGTCACTATCAACCCTCTTGAACCTCATCCTCCTCAGGTCTCCAAGTGACACACAAGTGCCATTACTGACAACACCATCCTGCTGTCACTGCCATTCCCCATCACTCCAGAGCCAGCAGGACATTTGAGTTGCTGCCCAGGACCAACCACGAGAGCTTTGTGAATGGCTTGACATGGGCACAGAGCTCCTCTGCATCCTACAACACCCCTGCAAGAGACACTACATTGATGAAACAGGAGACACATCTTGGAGGGACCCCATGCATGCCCTGGAGTGATGCAGCTTCATGGCTGCCACATGGCTCTCCTGAAAGGGTGAGCTGGGTTCATGGCCCTGGGGCATCCTCCTGGGGAATGGCTCAACCCAGGCATAGTTCCAAGCATCACCAGCCCTCCACTGTCCTCAGAATGCTAATTTTGATGGGGAGCTGGTGAGCAGTGTATGGAGGGAACTGCTGTTGAGCTGCCCACGATGCCAAGATGAAGAGCAAAGCAATGGTGACTCCAGCACCTCTCCATCACCCTCCTTCTGGCACCATGTTTGGCCTCTCTGGATGTAGAAAGCATCCACACAGGGAAAGAAGGAGGGAGGAAAAACACCCCCCTCTTTAAAGTGAATCCTTGCTCAGCTTGAACTAACCACTTGGGCAATATGAATTATTGAATTATTCCAGCTCCCTCTGAATCTCAGCCTTATGAAACTGGGAAGATGCAATAAAATCAATACGAAAAAATAGTGTCACTTTGCTTCACTTAGTGCATTATAAAACCATTAGAAGATTTACCAAATAACTAAAGTGCATTAGATCAAGAGGAGGAGAAAGTGGATCCTCTCTCCTGGCGTGAAGGCTTTCATTTCAATGGCCATAAATCACACATGCCCCGCCCAAGCCATGCCTTTTGATGGGCCTGAAAGGGAAATATCTGCATGGCTGAAGGTGGGTGTGGATGCAGTCTGAGGTGCCTCTTTGCCTCTGTGGGCTCCTGAGGAAGCCGGTGGCAGGGAGAGGCTGGCAGCTGGATGTGACACGCAGGACGTTAATCACAAGCAGATGCTGGAATCACTGGGCAAACACAGCCAGCAGGCTCAGCTCTGTGGAGGGAGGCTCAGTTTCACATCCAAGCCTTTGTCCTCCCCTAGCATACATCTGGCAGTGTGTACCAGGGGATGCAGGAGCCTTGGGCAGTTGGGAGGTGTCACACCCCTCCCTGTGATGGGACATCCCCCACTCTTCAGCAGCACCCCATCTGTCTGTCTGCAGGCTGCTCCCTCTGGAGTAGTGACACCAAGTCTCTGCCTGTACACAGCTGTAAACCAGTGAGAAATCAGCGGGACAAGGACAGGGACAGACCTGTTCTGCACACTACAGCCCTACAAAATGTGCAGTACTACCTCCCTCCCTCCAGAGGCTCAGGACAGAACTCTATCCCATCTCTAACTCCAAGAGCCACAGATCTCCAAATCCTTTCTGCTGTGCTGGAAGTGAAGAACAATCTTGCAGCTGAGGGATAAAACCCAGAGCCAGCCTCCCCAGCGCCTGTGCTGCCAGTCCAGCAGCCCTGCTCTGGCTCCAGCCCTCTGGAAAGGCTGCCCCTGGCTGAATCATCCCTGACCCACAGGTCAGCTTGGATGTAATTATACTGAAATACAACAAACACCATAAATTTGCTGGCGTTTGAGGCGCAAAGGTTGGCAAATAGAGCAGGAAGGTTACACACTGCTCCTCCCAGCAGCTGCGGACATTCTGGCTGGGACATGGCGTGCCAGCAGCAGGGCTGTGCCAGGCAGGCCTGGCCAGGTGGATTTGGGAATGCTGTGCTCTGGGGGTCCTGCCCTCCTGTGCTGCTGCCAGCAGAGGAGGGGACATGGTTCATGTCTGCCTGCTCACCCATGTGCTGGAAAGGCCAGAGCATTCCGGGGGAGCAGGGAACAAGGTTGTGATGCTTGAGCTGGTCACCTGCTCTAGGGTTTTGGCCCATTAAAAACCCTCAGGTTTTCTCTCCCTCACACCCTGAGAGAGGAACAGGAGCATGGCAGTGGTAGACACACAGGAATCTGAAGCTGGAAAGCATCTCCTGAATGCTAAACACAACGTGCAGCTCACTCGCCACCTCTTCCTCTGCCCCATCCCTACAGAGCCATGGCTCTGCTCCTGCAGACAGGAACCTTCACTGCCGATCCTTCTGGAAATTACATGGTCTTAGGCACGTCCCAATGGAGTTACTGAGTTCTCCTGCACTGAGGAGCACCCAAGTGGGACCTTACCTCCCACGTAGGAGATGGAGAAGCCCCTCTTGGCCGTGTTGCGGTCGGTGTGGAGGACCAGGAGCAGCTGGTTGCTGCGGGAGGTGACGGGTGCCAGGCTCTCCCGCCCACACCACCGTCCCAGCAGGGACCCATTCTCGGTGCCACCATCAAAGGCAGACAAGTGATCGTAGTCACAGCCACCTGTCAGGCTGCTCCGGCCCTCCAGCTCCATATCCAGGAAGAAGACCTTGACCCGGTAGCCTGGGGGCAGCTGGATGCTCCACTGGCACTTGAGGTTGTTGGGGTAGAAGTTGGGGTACTGAGGGCTGGAGAAATTCCCTTTGATGGTGGTAAACACCTCCTGGCACTCGCCTGCTCAGCGAAAAAGGGGAAAGGAAAAAATCAAAAGCAAACCTGAAGCCTCCTGGGTGTGGATGAGTGATCACTTGTTTTACTGCTAAAGGATGCTCTGCTCTTCACCTCCCTGCTCCCAGCCTTGTGTTTGGCCAATGGACAGCCAGCCTTGGGGGAGGGAAACTCCCAAGGGAGTCAAAGTCCTACAGGAGCAACCCTTATCCCCAGGGAATGGCATGAACAAGGGTGACTCCGGCTCAAGAGGGCAGCCCAGGGCTTGGAATATCCACAGCAATGCCATTTGCACTGTGTGGTGCTTTACACTTCACACCATCATCTCATGGGCTCTCCCCAGGGGCTTCCCCCATGATCATCTCCTCTTGCTACTGTGGGAGGGAGAGAATCACAACCCCAACCCAGGGTCTGTCCCCACATCCTTCCCACTGCCCCACCACCCTGAGACCCCCGCACCCGAGTAGAAATGGGCCTTGAAGCCCCTGCCACCGATGTTGAAGTCCGACTTGAAGATGATGAAGAGGTGTGGGGTGGAGGAGATGGTGCGGGGCGGGCGGGCGCTGCCGCAGTAACGTCCCAGGCGGGGGGCAGTGATGGTGGGGCCATCAAAAAGGGCCACGTAGTCGAAGCCACAGCCTTGGCCCCCTTCCATCTGGAAGTCAGCAAACACCAGGGTGAGGGGGCCACCACCGCCAGCCCCCCCGATGCTCCAGCGGCACTCGGCGTCGTTGGGGTAACTCTCGGGGTAGCGGGGGCTGGTGATCTCCCCAGAGAGCCCCGTCAGCTGCCCACCACAGGCGTCTGCAAGGAGGCAAGCATGATGAGGGCAGTGGAAGAGGACAGATGGATGCTCAGTGACCACCACACCTCCCTGCTACCTTTCTTGTAGGCAGCGGCGAAGCCGTGCTTGGCCACGTGGCGGTCGGAGCGGAAGACCACAGCCATGACGTGCCAGGCGGAGGAGAAGGGTGGTGGGGGGCTGTGGCCACAGAAGGTGCCCAGGAGGTTTCCCTGGTCCCGGGCAGCCCCGTTGTAGACCTGGAGGTAGTCATAGGCACAGGTGTCATGGTACTCCAGCTCGAAGTGGCTGAAGGAGAGCAGGACGGAGGAGCCCTCGGCCACCACGATGAGCCACGTGCACTCTGTCTCGTAGGGATACAGCCCCGGGAAGTTGGGGCTGGAGAAATTGCCAGAAGGTGCTGAAAGTACTCCCCCACATTTGATGCCTGGGGGACACAGAAGTGGGTGTGATGTCCCCTTTCCAGGGGAAGCCTAAAAGAATGGAGACAGGATGCACGACACCAGCTCCATCCCACCACCACAGTACCAAACCACCAGCATCCTGCAGAACTCCACTGGGCTTGTCCATCCACTCTCCCTGGAGGACGCATGTGTCCCCATCACCCTTTATCCCTCTGTGTAGCCCCTCTCCCCCATGCTGCCCTGTGGCGGCTGCAGGAGGGCTCAGCTGTGCCCCTGAGCTTGTCCTGCCAGTGACAGCACAGCATCCCCACCTGTTTATGGCTGGGAAAAAGGAAGCTGGGAGTGAGTTTTAAAGGCTCAGTGGTACCAGGCTTGCCAGAGCCCCAGCTGCCCAGCCCTTCAGCTTTGTGCCTCCCACTGACCACACTCCCTCCATATAATGGTGGTATCAGAGAATTTGAGCTGGGAGAAACAGGGGTGAAGGGCTCGATATGCTGAACAATGAGTTATGCGTGGAGGGATCGATTTCCTAATGAAATCTTTATACTGAGACATGGTTATTATAAAATAAGGCTGAGAGGGTTCCGGCTGTCACCTGCCCCTGGGTCTGATTAGGGCTGGGGTGAAGAGGCTGATACAGGGGGAACATACATCATGTCTGGGAGGGATGCAGACCCTGCACAGCCCCCAGGAGACACGTGTGGGTTCCCAAACAAGGCTGGGCGCTCGCTGCCATCAATCTGGGCCAAGTATATTGCAAATCAATAGTCAGCCTGTGCACATTGCTTTTCATCGTGCTCACTGGCACGGTGACCTCGCAGCAAGGGGGTTCCTGGGATGTGTGGGATGCAGCACCATGAGTCTGGCCAGATCTAAAATCACCTTGCTAATTACTGGAGATAGGCAGTGAAGTAATATGGGGCTGGTACTAAAGGAACAACGCTGTTGAAATAAATATCCAAGAGGGGAGCCTGTGGGAGAGGTGAGAAGCCACAGTGAAGACAGATGGATGATTAAGGGCTGGGAGCCTTGGGGTGCTCTGGAAAGCCCAGGTGGGTGTATGTGGGGGATGAGCAGGCACCACAGGGCAGTGGTGGAGCATCAGGAGCACCTGCACCAGGGTCAGGGATGGGTTTTGATTTCTGGCTCAGCCCTTCTGTGAGAAAGGCCCTGCCATTTTGGGATGGGGGATTGCTTGGGCTACCCTATCCCCTGAATTACTGTGTTATCTGCTGACCCTGCCCTGCATCCTGGGGGACATTTTATATGGGTAAGGTGACAGGTTTATTGCACACCTCCCACATACACATACATGCATACATTCGCATATAAATGTATATGTGTATATAGATTTATATAAGCAAGTGCAACTCCAGGAACTAACAAACCCTTCACCAAAGCCCCTGTACCCCACAACAGGACAACCCCTACCTGCAGTCCTCAGTAAAGTAAGCATGAAGCAGAAACCCAAGCACGGAGCAAGTGTACCACACTTGCTGCTACCACAACAGTGACTCCAGATCCCAGCTCCTTGCCCCTGGCCTGAGCCAGCCCCTCGCCCTGCTGGAACCCACTCACACCGCAGAGCCACTGTGGCACCTGCACATGGCCCTCCCCTCCTCAAGAACCACGGATGTTCCACCAGGAGCTGGAACCAGGCTCTTACCTCTGCTGGGAGCATCCCCGAGAGCCCTGCAGAGCATGGCCAGTGCTGCCAGACAGCCCAGCCCTGTGCACCCCATCCTCCAGCAGGCAAATCTCCCCTCACCGAGCTTCCTTTTGGAGTTGTCTATCTGGGAGGAAAAAAATAAATAAAGAGAGAAATAAATAAAAAGCAGGAGGACTGTAGAATTAATAGTGGAATGAATAATTCATCGCTTGTTTGAATTAAGAGCAGCAAGGTAACTTGATCTATTCCTCCCTTCCTTCACTCAGTTTTAATGATCTGGATCAAATGTCCCAAGGATTTACACTATACCAGATACCTTGTCAATACACTATATTTAGAAGAGATATTAATGTTTCAGAAATGGTGTATAACGGCAGTAAGTCTGGGCTGACAATATGCCCTTAAGGGGCTATGAAAATAATTTAGTTCGCCAGGCAAGCCAGCGAACCAAAATGGGAATTTCAGACTTACCGCGGAAAAGCATCTCAGGAATTAACATGATTTATACTGCGGCACCCACTGCACAAAGGCAGCTGGTGGTGAAGGCGAGAGAAACAGGGAGCAGGATTGAAACGCGGCCGCGTCTCCGCGCCGGCTGCCAGGTCAGCATCCCTGCAGCAGGAGTCCAGGCTCAGCGGGATGCTCAGCCCGGGAAAGCAGCAGTCGTGAGCACTAAAGATAGCAAATCCCACCTCCCCCGAGGAAGATTAGAGATGAATTGTGACTCATGGGCAAAAAACATCGATTATTATAGAACCTGCTAAGGCCTTGGAGAATTGCCACGTTCCTCCATGCTGGCTCACGCTACTTCTCGCCCAGGCTCTTGGATGCGCTCAGCTGAAGGTAAGCAAGCCTTTGGGTTTGGTGGGAAAGATGTGCTCCTTGTGCTGTGCCACATTAGCTGGAGAAACCCCAAACCCAACAGCGGCTCAGTTCCTTCCCTCCCGCCCAGGAGAGAAAAGACTTTCCTGCTGCCACAGCCCACACCCACATGAATGCCAGGAAACAAAATCCCACGAGGGCCTCCCAGCGTGAGGGACCTGTGCTAAAAAAGTCACCTTCAAAGCAGCAGGGAGAGAAGCAGTGAGTATCTCTAAATCTCAGGCAGGAGACAAGTTGCATTTATTAATTAAGCAATGAGGATCGATGCTCGAGACATTTCCTGTGGATTAATGATGGGCTGGGAGGAGCTGATGGCCTGAGGTGCAGCTAAAGACCATTAACGCCAACTGGTCATGAATCCCCAGGAAATGCTCCATGCCAAGGTCGTTAAGTGCCTGCATATATTTATGGGGAATAACAACAACAATAATATTTGTACAGGCTCACTCCCCACTGCCCAGCCTTGCTGGAGCCATGCCGAGGGCTGCTGGGAGCATTGGGACATCCCAGCCAGGAGCCCTCTCTCCTAAGCCCAGCTGAGGCAGGGAACATTGGGTTCTGTCCCGGGGCATTGAGCACTGCATCACCAGAACTAAGAGCACAATGGAATGAGGGCAGCTCCCCCTGTCCCTGGGTACTGTGTGCAGATCCTGCCCCAGTGCAGGCTCTGGGAGATGCTGCTACGCTGGCACGTCTCCTGCTGACCTCCCAGGAACATTACAGAGCTTAATTAGCTGCTTCCCTAATGGCCGGGAGAGGAGGTCTGTCCTCGTCAACAAGTGCAGGCCCACACAGCAAAGATCCAGGCGAGGTCTGGCCATGGCACAGGGGCTTCTCCTGGGTATTTTCCATTGCCACAACCCGGTTCATCCAGAAGGAGTGCTCAGCCCTCCCAGCCACCATCCCCTGGGCTCAGGAACAAAGTGCTCCCCGACTTCTGCATCGCTGCGTTATGGAGCAACATGTTTATCCTCATCACATCCATCCTGGGCAACACCCACCGTCTTCCAGCCTTTCCAGCACTGCCTCAGCACCAAGCCAGTTCCTGGGACACCTGCACAGCTGCTCCTCTCCCTCCCCTTAGCTGTGCTCTGCATCAGCAATCCCCGGGAGATGGGGGTCAGGGCTGTGCAGCACAGCAGCTGTGCCCCGCTCCCAGGAGATGGCATCCATCAACCACAGGCACATTCACCCTTCTCCTGACCTGGGGATGGCCATTCCCAGGCTGGGCCTGAGCCCAGGCAACCTGGCTGTCAGCTGAAGAGCGGGGTGGGAGG